TATAAGGAGTCTTGAGGGCAAAATTCCCTTTTAGAAGGTCACATTAAATTATCCAAAAGACAGTGAGTTTAGTTCTCCAGGCTTCCAGGAGAAGGCCACAGCAGCAGGGTACGTCACTTTTATTGGGTGCTTGAGGGGTTATTTAAGTCAGGTTTAGCTGTGCTGACATCTTGAAAACTCTGCAGCCATTTGCAAAGAACGCAGATCTATTTTAGTCATCTTTGTTTATCCTGTGCTGTTTGCACAAGGTCTCCCTCAGCCAAGATTCATGGCTATGCTGGATACTATTTCAAACTAGGCCAGTTTAATAAGATTCTAAAATGACCTGGACGAGAGAATTTTGTGAAAATTTTGGTTGACCAAAGAGTGTTTGAATCATTTCTAACTGAATAGTTTAAGAATATACATTTTTATTCTCCTACAAAAAATCCAATGACACTTTAAAACACAAGTCAGATTTAAAAAAGGTGATTTGCTTTTATCACCCAGAGTTTTTGAGACATTCAGGCCTTCTGGTATAGCAACATAACTAGACATGGGCCACTGCTTTTCAATTAGCTAGAGAAGAAAATAATACAAAAGTCGTAATTCCCACAGAGGGTATGGATGGCCATGAGACCATCAGTTGACAGTTCATCAAAATGGATTGCTTTGCATTAAAAAATTAGAAATGTTTGTGGTAAATAGCACATTTCTCATATTTTTTTTGGAACTTAGTATAGGAGAATTTAGACATTGTTCCTCTAAAGCAAGTAATACTTTATCTGAGCTTAAGAAAGGAAACTTTCTTGAGGAAAGGAAAACAATACAAAATTACTGATTCACTATGACCTTCCTGGCCACTCATACAGAGGTCTTGAGCTTTGTGCAAGATGCTCTGTAACCCTCCCACTGTCACTGTGCTTCCCCCACAAAAGTGCATTCTCAGTCTGCTTTTCAGACTTGGCCTGGGTCTTGGGCTAATGCGCTCCATGTGTAAGCCACGCTTACTCAGTGCACAAGGAAGTCTGGATCAGTAATACCGCATGATGAGACTTTTTACAAAATAAATGAATACAAGAGAAATGCAAAAACTCATCATCAATCTTATCCAGACATTTACTATCCTTCGCCACAACTAAGACAGGAGTTATTTCCTCCGAACACTTTGGAGCGTCCCTCACCACAAATCTTTCAAACAATTGGCTCCTTATCTGAGTGAGCAACCCCATGGAAGCACTTGAGGTTGTTTGTTGTTCTTCATTCGTGAACTCTGGCTCTTCTTGTCAAAATAAGCTTTATAGTTGCAGGAGGCTAAACCAGAGATAGAGTCCTACAAGTCCAACAGATCTGTCATTGTCTTTCAGCAACTCTTACGTATCTGCAGAGGATGGAAAATCTCGTAATATTTTTCTTTTATGCTTACTTCCTGCTCTGAAAATTTCCAATTATCTGATCTGTCCCCAGAGCAAACAGTCAGCTCAACACACAATAGTCAAACTTTTATGCGGCAATTCCAAATCATAACAGATGCTGCCATGGGCATTACATATTAGAAATGATATTTATGAAGTCACAACCAAAGACTTAAGCTTTCTGTTGTTTATACATTCTACAGAATTTTACAATAATGAAAATTATCAGATTTTGAGAGCAAGGCCAAACCTGAAAAAAACACTTAAAGAAAAATGATAACTCAGTGCCACCGAAGCAGGTATATAGAAGTCATAGGACACAGGCATAATATCTTTACTGTACTGTAAAATACACTTCTACCCCAATTATCTTTTATAATTATGCTTTATTCTGTTAAAATTTATTTTAACTCTGACCTTCTGGGTTTGCAATATCTGGTCTGAGGCCAATTACAACAACTCTGTGATAAACTTGTTCCAAAATCGTGACAAGTTCTCCCAGCCATAATGTAATTCAACTGGGCTCTTGTGTCTCACAAAAATACCTCTCTGTGGTAACAAGAATCAAGAATTAGGAAGCCATATGGAACCACTCTGGGAAAATGGCATGTTTGGTTTTTTTTTCCCCATGCTTTGATTTTCCCCCAGTTGCCAAGCTGAAAAACTGCAAACTCTCTAGCCCCTTTGTTTCCCCACAGCCTTCAAAGACAGAAATAGGCTTTGAGGATCCAGCTCTCAGAAATAACCAGCGCTCATTCTCCAACGACAGGAGTCAGTTCAGCAGCTATGAAAATAAATGTCCAAGGGATCATTCTCAAACAGCAAAATTCCTGTTTGAGTGACAAAACAACAGCTTAGAAAGAAAGCTCTTGCTGAAGCATAGAAGTTAGGGATGTAGCGATGGAGGTTTAGCAAGCACCCTGCTAAAAACCACCCCACAGGTCATTTGAGGATGGCAGTCTAGCTGCTGACTGAGATTTTTGAGACTTTCCCTTTCCAGATTCTGCTGAACTATCCCTGCTAGTGATTGCACTTATAAATATTTAGCAGCATCTGTTTTGCCTTTCAGGGTGGATGAAATCTGGCGCTCACCATTCCTCGTCCGTTCCGGGCACTGATCCACACAGCCCTTCTGGAAGCTGAACGCTGAGCCCCGGCCCGCATCGCTGCCATGCCCTGAGCGGCGGCCTCGCTGCACGATGTGGCTACGTGCTCTGCTCACACTCACACCCTGTACATCCCATCGTCCATTTGGGCCCACCCTGCACCACATGGAGCAGCCTGGGAACAAAGTGGATCTTGTAGATCTCTGTGCAGCGCTCCCGCCTCCGCACACAGCCCACCTGCATCCTTCACCCCCAGGATGCTCCAGCCACAGCAGGAAGGGAGCTCTCTCACTTGTGCCTTCTTACAAAAATAGTGTGAAATGCGAAAGAGCAGCCAACACACATCCATCCACACATTTGCTCTTCTCATTGGTGGCCAGTGATAGGACAAGGGGAAATGGGCATAAGCTGGAGCACAGGAAGTTCCATCTCCAGGTGAGGAGGAACTTCTTTACTGTGAGGGTGACAGAGCAGTGGAACAGGCTGCCCAGGGAGGTTGTGGAGTCTCCTTCTCTGGAGGTCTTCAAAACCCGCCTGGATGCCGCCCTGTGCCACATGCTCTAGGTGTGCCTGCTTGAGCAGGAAGGTTGGACTAGATGATCTCTAGAGGCCCCTTCCAACCTTGAATATTCTGTGATTCTGTGATTCTGCTCCCTCCCTCCCTCCCAGCTTTCTGGAGCTTGGTCCTGGAGGGCCTTGTGCCACCACTTTAGCCTGTGTCTACTGGCCGCAAGGTTCATGCATCTGGCACAAGCCTCAAGCTGAGGACGAGGCAAAGAGCCTCTTAGGAAAGAATGAGTAGGAGTATCCATAAAAGGGCAGCAGGGAAGAAAAAGGATGTAAAGAGCTAAGCTACCACTCAAGAAGCAAGGCATGTTATTTCTCTTCAGCAAGGTCCTAACAGCAGCCCCCAGTAGCTGCAAGGAGGTTACTGAGAAGGCAGAGCCAAGGTCTACATGGTATAGGGGGCTAAGGTACAATAAACTAAAACCATAGATGCTCCAACACCTGGAAAAATATAAATTCTTCAGCTCAAGGACAACTGAACACAGAAGCAGACTGCCCCAAGAGGCTATGAAATAGCTACCCTTGAAGGTTTTCAGGACTCAGCTGGAATAAAAGCCATGAACAATCTGAATGAAATGCCATCCTGACCCCACTTTGAGCTGGAGGTTGGCCAAGATGACTTCCTGAATCCCCTTCTCCCTGAATACTGCTGTGAAACCACCAGCAGACAGGCACACACCTCCTTGTACCTCCATTTCCAAAGCAAATCTGCTGCCTACTCACTGATAAAATACAGGAGTGAGTCCATCTCTAATGACCTGTAAGACTCAAAGGAGCACTGTCTGCTTGGGAGCTACCAAAGGGAAAAGAGCCCATAAAGCACATGGAAACATGCAGGTGCAAATTGTTTTAAAGGCAACCAAATGAGTTGATGCCTCCTTGTCCGGCAGTTACTCTTGGGGATTTACAAATCAGTCTTGCTTTTTAGCATAGGCTGCAGGAGAACACGTTTTCCTATGCTACATCACAGGCTATGACACCCTTCCCGACATACTCTTAGGAATTCCCTTGAAGAACATGCTGATCCTAGAGAGGACACTCTTTGCTCACACGAGTTTGAGTGGTTGATGTTCTCATTGTCCTAAAGGGATATTACTTAAGGCCCTAGGAGAGAAAATTGGATGGAAATAAATTTAGAGAAAGAAAAAAAAAAAATCAACAGGGGGAAGTACCCCAAATGAGGCTGATGTAAAATGTGATCTTAAAATACTTTAAGTAGCCAAATTACAGTTGCAACTCAATTTTACTTATTACTCACAGTTCAAAAGTGTTAGTGCTGTTTTAAAATACATATACTTAGGAAAAATACCTAGCAGTTATGTAATTTTTTCTTCAATAGATATTAAAAGTTCTATAGGAAACATCTACAGTATTAAGATCTACATGAAAGCAAAGAATCATTGTTATTTTATAGGTCATTTACAGAAAGGTAATATAAATAATTTTTTGTCCTAAGTTGCTCAACCAAATCAATGATGCAGCAAGAAGTAGAATATAATACTTCTTACGTCAGGATTCAAAAATCACTGTATTCTCAACTTCAAAATTTTCTAAAGCTTTATTTTGAAGATTTATACCTTGCTATCTTACCATACGAATATACGGAACTTTTGATATGTGTGGGGTGACCTTGAATTCCAGTGTTTGCAGTATGGTTTCTTTGCTTCTACACAGACTAAGAAAAAGGCTTGCAGAGAAACGTTTCAGTAAAACACACTGTCAATGCTGTAAAAAAATGCAGCTTTAGGAAATAAACAGAAAGCTATGTTTTGTATTAACCAGTTAAAAGCTCATTAGAAAGTCAGACACAGAGAGATCTAACTGCCAGGCAACCAAATAAGCAGAATCTAAAGCTTCATTTACTGCAAGTTCAGTTATTGCTGCAGCAATGTTCAAACCAGCTCCCTTCCAAATATCCTCATGTTGTCCTTACCAGGTTGATCAGCCTTCTCATCGCATGTTCATGTGAGCAAATGCATTCACAGGGATCAAATCCACCTTCTGCCATGATTCTCTGGGAAAACCAGAACTTGACTGGGAACACCTGAGAAAAATAAAAGGAAAATTAGCTCTTTTGCAACTGACATTATTTCCCAGAGCCATCATATTTCAGTGCATTTAATGGCAGAGTGAAAAAGCAACACAAAGCAGGGCAATCCTATTATTCCTTCGGCAGCATGAATGAAGAAGCCTGGTATGTGCAGCTACATTTTGATGTTGCTGAAAGCAGTGTCTCACACAGGCTTCCTTACAGAGCCAAATCATTTTTTTGCGAGTATTTGTGTCCCCATAATTTTTACAGACATCCTAGGAAAAGTATCCTAACAAAAAGAAGTCCAAGGATCAAATTGTGGTCTGTCATCAGCATAGTGGAAATATGAAGTGTATGAATCCAATTCAAAAAATCAAGGAAATTTGTGCTCCTGATGCCCTTACAAACCACTGACCTTCTCCTCTGGATCAATGGATGTGAAAATAATTTAAAGCCCTGTAAATTCTTTGCTCTGGGAGGAAACAATCACCTTTATTGTATAATGAAAGCAAGCAGCAGGAGTGCAGAAACGGAGTTACTTGGAAACACTTTAAAACTGAAGCCACGCACGCTAATTTTAGATCAAAGAAGCAGGTCACACAGTTGGCCATACCGAAGGTTCAAAGAAACTGCACTGGACACAGTGGGGAACCTGTTCTGTGGTGTTCACTTGCTAAAACCCATTCCTCCCCAGGCACGGCAGCGATATGACGAGTGTGTCTTTACTATCTACTCACAGTTTTCCCAGTGAGTTAATTGACGCTCAAAGTACGTAGCAGATTGCCAGGAATTTCTGCTCCAGTCGACAAATCAGGGATTTGTCCTCCCTAATGAGGACTCGTACAATGCCCAAGATCAGCTCTGCACACTGATACTTTCAAAATATTACTGCTAATTTGATATCAGTAAGGCTAAATTCCACTTGTGCTTGTGCTTCACACACTGGGGCCCTTGGTGGGATAACTGGCAGGCAGGGGCATGGAGTAGATAAAGCCTCTCCACCTCCTGAAGTGCCAGGCATTTGGAAAGGCAAGGCAGGGAATATGCCCATCCCACTTCAGCAAGGGTGCTAAACCACCAGGTGTGTCACCTATAAAAATATATGGTCTTGATTACACATAAGCATATGGATGCTTTAACCTCACTAGGCAAAAGAGTAATAACTCATACTGCTATAAGATAGCATCACCGTGATAATTCTTCCCTGTTGGGCAAAGGAAAAGCTGGAAAAGAAAAGGCATTTCAGGAGTCCTCCCCTCCTTGCCCTGTCAGTGCCCGAGGTTCTTCTGCACTAGTCTCTGCACCACGGTGCAAAGGGCCAGATGGTGAAAGAAGCTGAGGTATAGCCTGTATATAACCTGTATATATACATATATATATATATATATAACCTGTATAGCCTGAACTTCAGTGACTTTGTTTGCTAGGATTTCCATGGTTTTGGGTTTTTTTTTTTTTTAAAGGATACTGAAAACTGCAAAAGAGCAAAAATGTATGGAGGCATTTTGTGCCTAGACCCTAGAGACAACTGAGATGTGGCTTCATTATGCAGTTTGCACATACCTTCAAACAGAAAACAAAAACAGAGTATCAAGAAGTTCTTTACTAAAGAGGGGAAAATCCTAGCAGGATTTTCTTGCTATTTCCACATCTCTTGGCAGCCGTATTCAACCAGTGCAGAGAGGAACAGGGCACACATTTTTACCAAATTACCAAATCTTTACATCCAAACCTAGGCATTTGGACCAGTGAAGTCACAAAACAGTATTTAACTTTCACTTGAAAGGATTTAGGAGTCAGGAACACATAACAATGACACAATAATTAATAGGAGGGTGTTAATCTCTCTCTTACTAGGGTAAATCAGGACATCTGATAAGAATCATCATCAGTGAAAGCAGGAGAGCAGAGGGCATACATTTCACAGGGCATACAATGAAAAAGATTAGAAAACAAATGGGGCAAATTAACCTCATACATAACATCATAAATGGAAGCACCGTTTTGCTAGGTATTTACCCCAAGGCACCTGAACTGTACACGATGAATTACCTTAATGAGCTCCAATAAAGCAGAACACATGCCACAAATCTGAACGCTGTGCAAGCTCTCAAACTTCCTCACCTTCACACGAACGCTTAGAGGAATCATCATCCATCCCTTTCTACCCAAACCTCCAACAAGCTCTTTTGTTGGGAAAGGATCAAAGATGGACCAGATATTTTGGGAACAGCACTCCGTTTCTTTCCCCTCAAAAGGAGCATAAAATAGGGTTGTTTTTACACTTAAAAAAAGTGAGTAATTCTCTGTTATGTAATTATTTTTTGCCGGGAACTGAAGAATTTATGCGAGACTGACTAAGTTAAATGTCATGAAGAGAGAACCACCACAAACCGTATGACAACTTTCACTGGAAAGATGACACTGGCATATTTGCGTGCCTTATTAGAACTTTTTGCCTTAGTCACCGTCTTGCTCGCAATTCGCTTTGAAGGCATAAAGCATTAACTAAACCCCGTAATTAGATCTTTAACTGCTCCACGAACCCGTGTACGATTTGGTCCTCGGAGCCCAGTATTTTTAGCATGGGAGCGAGCAGGATTCCTCGGCTGCCTCGGGGCAGCCTGTCCCTCTGCAGGCCCTGCCATGGCCTGGGCCAACGCGGCCCTCGCGCGCACGGGCTGGCAGAGAGGGGCAGGATGCGTTCCCTTCCTCTCACAGCCACATGGAAAAAAGAAACAGAGCAGGTTTGTATTATTTTCTGTACGTTTTCCTATTCAGAATTACCCTGGCTTTCTTTAAACTTACAGAATATCTGGTCAGACCACACCAGATAAAAAGATCATGAAATCAAGTACTTGCCATCCACGTACATAATACATTGACTGAGAGAGTTCCTTTTACTCTACTTAAATTACAGTACTTGTTTTGGCCATATTATTGCTAACGCAGTACTTAATTCATAGAGTTTACACAATTTTGGAAGGCATGTTTGCTAAATGTGCCAAGGCTCTCCCTGATAACAGCTGAGGAGCTGCACACCATGTCCTCTAGGCTAACCGAGCTGACAGAAAGTAAAATAAAGGAGAGTTTGCAATCAGGTGGATAAACATGAGGTACCTTCAACAGTCAATATGACTTCCTCTGAGTAAAGAGGCCCATAATCATAAGCAATAATACTGAAATTAAAATACTGTAGGCAGAGCTGGGGCTACTGTTATCCTGGAACAAAGGGCAGGATGGTCGCTGATGATTTAAGGCAGAAAGAAAAGCCCCCCATTACTTTCTGAATTCAGTATCTGTCTGAAATTGTAGGCAATGAGGCCAGACTGAAAAATATTTCTAGATCTGCTCTTACGTTTTAAACAAATAACATTCACAGTTATCACAGTAATTACTGGAAATTGTTCTTTTATTACCTTTACAATCCCAGTCCTACAGCTAAGTATTGTACATCCTACTATCAGGAAAGGTAATCTTTATGGACACTATGCTATTGTTCTTCCATACCTGGAGACTCCTATATTTGAATTACTGCCAGGCCTACACATTCTTTCCTAATTCAGCAACACCTCTCCTGAGTAAATAGCATGCAGCTGGTGAGCTCTGGGAGGCAGAAATTACACTCTGCTTTTCTCCACCCTAATCATTGCAAAATTGAATTCCTTTCCAGCACAAAGGCAAACAAGAAGTTTTGTCAATCTTTCATGTGCTGGAAGTGCTCTAATGTGACTTTAATACCATGTTGATTATCTAGACGGTCAAAATACACATATGGGTGAGCTGTACTCCCCAGTAAAAATTTCTGGTTAAAAACATTTTAAATTCTAGTATTTCAGCAGAACATTTACTGTATATAATACCCTATATAATTCCATGATAAATCTTTGTGACTCTGATTTGTTTATCTCAGCATTAAAACTCTAAACCCGTTATCTCTCATCTTGATTGGCTGCAGACACCTTTAAAAGGCAGAATATCTCACATATCACACACATCAAACACGCAGCGACTGAAGGTTTCCTCCGCTAGGAACTAATCTGGCCGTGGTGCCATTTCCCCGCAGATGAGAAGTCCTTGGGGGCAAAATACCTCACAGTACAGCAGACAGGCTGCAGAATCTTTCCACATTACTTAAAAAAGAAGTGAAGTGCCCCCTATTTGACTCTTCACTATTGTTTTTTTCAGGCAATTGCAGCATTTCAAAGCATAGCTGTCAAATATCTGTTACAAACAATAAGGTTGGTTTTGCTGCTGAACTCAGTTTTCAAGGAGTACAGCGGAACAAATGAAAAGGTGGATAAAATTTTACAAGGAAAGCAAAAAACTTTGGGGGGCACTGCAGGCATCCTGAAAACTGACAAAGGATAAAACAGCAAAAGTTGCACATGAAGCACGGATATTTTATTGCCTGTTTTGGTCCTGCTCTCATAAGTAGAAACCCTCTTCTCATGCACTTTTCCACAGTCTCTAAAGGATCCACATTTCCATTAAAAGTTCATTATCTTCACCTGTATTTAAGCAAGCTTTGCATCCTTACAGCATCTTATCCCTCCAGCAGTTACTCTCTTTGCAGGTCTCCCCAAATTTGCTTCTCCCATATAATTTCACCCATCTCCAAAGGACTCCCAAGGCTACTCTCCTAGCATCCCACCAGATCACTGCATTAACCTCACGCAGGGCAACATCCTTACACCAGCCTGCACCGAGAAACTATCAGTCATAGCGATACGCGTGCGGCCACAGCGCCCACCAAACTACACGGTGGAAATTTGGCTTCAGTTCAAGCCAGAGGGGACTGCTGGGATCCATCTCTCACGATGTCCCCTTCACTCCATCTTCTAGGACCTCTTTGCCCTCCTGGCCGCTCTCCTTCTGGCCACCCTTGGCACTCCAGGGACAATCAGCACTTCAGTTGATTCACTACTGTCTACTCCAAAATGCACCGGTTCAAGGGGTCGCTTCAAAATCTGTTTCTAATCCTGCCTCTCCATGGACTAGACCCGTGCAAT